AGAGAGAGAGAGAGAGAGAGAGTGAGCACAAGCAGATAGAGTGGCAGGCAGAGGCAGAGGGAGAAGCAGGCTCCCTGCTGAGCAAGGAGCCCGATGTGGGACTCGATCCCAGGACGCTGGGATCATGACCTGAGCCGAAGGCAGCGGCTTAACCCACTGAGCCACCCAGGCGTCCCTCTTCTCACTCTTTTGGTAAAAAAAAAAAAAAGAAAAAGAAATGACCACACCTGAATGTGGGTTTTTTTTTTTTTTTTTGTTTTTTTTTTGTAAAAGAGGAAATAATGTGGACAGAATGGAAACCTCTCCCCCATGCCCATCCCCTGATCACTCAGTGTAACTGCTCAACGTAGCAGGGAACTTTTCATACTCTTGTCTCTGCATTTGTGATTATAGTAATATAGGAATAATTTTGTGTGTTGTTTCTTTTTCTGTTTTTTTTTTTTTTTTTCTGTAAATAGTGTCATACATGTCAATATCCTGCAACTTACTGTTTTACCTTGCACTCTAGTTTAGAGGTGTTTTTCAGACTAGTATGTATAAATCCATATCATGATTTTTACTTTTTTAAAAAATTTTTTTGAGAGAGAGCGCACTCAGGAAGAGGGAGGGGAGGAGGGAGAGACACTCTTAGGCAGATTCCTAGCTAATGTGGAGCCTAACGTAGGCTCGATCTCATAACCCTGAGATCATGACCTGAGGTGAAACCAAGAGTTGGACCCTGAACCAACTGAGGCCCCCTCCCCCCAGGTGCCCCTCTACTTTTGTTTATATAAATGTTGTGGTAAGAGTCCTTTCAGGAGCCTCTTGATCTGGGCAACTGTTTCTCTGGAGTACATACCACGAAGTGGAATTGCTTAAAGGTTCACACACTTGAAAATTTAATGTGTGGTGCTAGATTGCCTTCCATAGAGGCTGGCCACTCACACCCCTACCAGTTATTTCTGAAAGAATCTTCCATCAAAAATTGATAGGATAATATTTTAATTTTTGCTAAGCTGATAGCTGAGGTTGCCCATTCTTTCATTTGTTTATTGGCTGTTAGGGTTTCCATATTTACTTATTTATTTATTTACATTTTAAGTTAGTTCCACACCCAGAGTGGGCCTGGAGCTCAAGTCTCGTGCTCCTCTGCCTGAGCCCGCCCAGCACCCCTGGATTTCCATTTTTAAAATACTGTTTCTCCACAGTCTTTGCTCATGTTTCCCTTGGCATTTGCCTCTTGATTTGTAGGCATTCAAAAACAGAAACTCTTCTGGATCCCAGGCCTGTTTGTGTGATTTAAAAGGATCCTTTCCTTCCCGCAAGGCTGTAAACCTACTCTCCTGTTACGTAATGCTCTAAGTTTGAAATAATTTTCCTTCCTCCTCCATTAACTTTTGTGGGTTGAGTGAGTTAGGGAGCGAATTCCTTGTTTTCTGAATGGGGAGTGAATTGTCTGAGGTGCCTTACCGAACGGCGGTTTCTTTCTCACTGACGTGAAGCGTCCCTGAAGGCCACGTTAGATCTCATGCACAGTCCTGTTTCTGGAAGCCTCAGTCCGTTGCTTTTGTCTTGTTTATGAAAGAACCAAACGGTTCTGATTACTGTAGTTTAAGAGTACGTTAAGTGTCTGTAAGGCAAGTGCTTTCATTTCATTGTTGTGCTTTTTCAAAAAAATAAATGAGCCATTCTTCCATTTTTCCTTTTTCAGATAGATTTGAGGATGGCCTTGAAAGGTTCCGTGGAAGGTCGTGTTAGGACTTGGATTGGTTGGAGTGAATTCATGATTCATGTGTGGGCTGTCTGCGTGATGCTGTGATTCAGAGCAATGCCTTGGGTCTCAGGTTCCTGTCTTTGTCACTTAGTGGCTTTGTAACTGAAACTCCTGGCCAGCCTTGCCTGTGACCCTGCGGCAGGGATGGCTGTGGGTGGAGCAGGTGGCGGGCACGGGGCACAGGCAGGACTGCGAGGTGTGTGTGTGCGTGCGCGGCCTGCTCTGCCTCCTTGGGGCTCCCAGAGCGCGCAGGGTTCCCTTCGGCGTTTTGAGGGAGTATGTGTGTGCCTGCACCAGTGTGCGTGCACGAGTGTGCGTGTGTTTCGTCAGGAGGTGGGAGGTTACTCAGAAGCTCTGTTGGGGGGGTGTCTGCTGGGGGTGTTTCCTTTTGGGGGGTCACTGTTGGGATTTCTGTGGCTTAGGGGTGAGGAGGGGCACCTCTGTCACTTCCAGAACTGCAAGCAGAGTGTCACTTTGTTGTGGCTTAGTGGACCGGGCTTGGGGTGAGTCCACAAACCTGGTGGCTGTGACGACGGGCAGGTGCACAGTGCTTTCTCAAGCTCTTTCGGCGTTCTATTAAAACTTAGCGCTGGAGTAGCTCTGCTTTTTTTTTTTTTTTTTTTGAGATTTTCTTTTTATTTGAGAGAGTTAGAGAGAGAGAGAGAGAGAGCACAATCAGGGAGAGGCAGAGGCAGAGGGAGAAACAGACTCCCCGCTGAGCAAGGAGCCTGACGTGGAACTTGATCCCAGGACCCTGAGATCATAACTGGAGCTGAAGGCAGACGCTTAAGTATCTCTGGTTTTAAGCAGTTGGGTCCTCGAACAGTAGGTTTGGTTTTTATATCCAGGTCCTCGATGTTGGAGGGTATTTTGAGGGTAGCTTAAGATACATGATTTCTCCTGAAGTTTCCATCTATTAGAGTATTCTGTGTCCTTTTTGTCTCTAGAGAAATTTGACAGCTGGCAATTTCATTGAAAGAGGGGCCAGAAAGATACACAGTTGGCCCTTGAACAATGTGGGGGTTCAGAGCACCGACCCTCTCGTGCAGTGGAAAATCTGCATGGAACTTTTTACTCCCCACAAACTGCACTCCTTATGGCTTAGCGTTGCGCGAAAGCTCTGCTTACCACGTCAGCAGTCAGCATGAATACGTATTTTGGATGTTATGTATTATATACTGTGTGTTCTTCAATCAGGTTTGCTAGAGAGAAGAAAGTGCTATTAAGAAGATCGTGGGGCACTTGGGTGGCTCAGTCAGGCAGGCATCTGAGTCTTGGTTTCAGCTCAGGTTGTGAGATTGAGCCCCATCTTGGGGCTCAAGGAGTCTGCTTGAGATTTTCTCCCCTCTCCTTCTGCTCCTCCCCCCACCACACACGCATGTGCGCGTGCGCTCGCTCTTTCTCAATTAAATCTTTAAAAAAAAGAGAAAATCGTAAGGAACAGAAAATACATTTCAGGACTGAACTGTATTTATCAAAAACAATTCTCCTATAAGTGGACCTAGGTGGGTCATACCCATGTCATTCATGGGTCAACTCTGTTTTCAGTGCGGTATAAGAGCCTTTTGTTTAGAAGTGGGTATGTCTGATTTCTTAAACATAGTTTATAGAATTATAGTTTAAAAATAGCCTAACAGTAGAATTAGCCTTTATCTTTAAAGATTAAAAAAAATAAAATCTTTAAAGATTTTATTTAGAGAGCACCTGTGCATGAGCAGGGGAAAGGACTAAAGGAAGAGCGAATCCCAAGCTGATGCTGTGCTGAGTGAGCCCTATGTAGAGCTTGAACTCATGACCCTGACGTCATGACCTGAGCCGAAATCCAAGGTCTCTGACACTCAGCCAACTGAGCCACCCAGGTGCCCCTAAGCTATTTATTTAGAAAGTTATTTCTAATTTCTTATTTAAATTTAGAGAACCCTAGAACGTTTGAGTTAGGAGGGACCTCAGAGGCCAATAGTTTACAGAGACTTCTGAACCCTCCCCCACCCCTCAGCTCACGGGCGAGCCTGTGGCCAGTCAGGAGCACTGAGGTCACTCCTGCGCTGGTAGCAGCCATTCCAGTGCCCACAGCGTCAACACCGACTGTGTGTGTGGAAAATCTGTGGTGCTTTATTTCTAAGAGCCTTATAATGAGAAGAAAGTATCAAGGATGCTCAGTTTTCCCTACAGGCATAATTTGCATGACGGAGGAGTAGTACATGCTCTTTTCTGTACCTGTAAGTCATGTGACTTCTGTTTGTTTCCTTTAGAACGTCCAGTTGCTGATAATGAGCGGATGTTTGATGTTCTGCAGAGGTTTGGCAGTCAGAGGAATGAAGTTCGTTTCTTCCTCCGTCATGAACGGCCCCCCGGCAGGGACACAGGTAGGTAGCATTGTGTGAATCCGAGCAAAGCTGTGGACTTGGACTCCATGTGTCCAAGGAACGGGGAGATCAGGAGCCAGGTGACGTGAGGGGTATGGGACAGGAAGGGACATGGAAGCCAGAGGTCAGACCAGCTTCCAAGACCTGACTGTTGGGGAGAAAAGGGTGTGGTTTCCTCTCATTTGTTTTCTTTGAAGAGGGGAGGAGCAGGTAGAAAAAAAGTCCCCAGATCAGGAGGCTGAAGTGCAGGAGAGGGGGTACACCCTCAGTGGGGACGATGTCCTGGGTGCAGGAGGGAGCTGGTGTCCGCTGTTGTGGAGGGAGAGGGAGCCGGCGGGGGTGGTGGCAGGCACGTGCTTTGTGGGATCAGGTGGAGGGGCTTCTTGTCTGATGGTTTTCTCGGGGTTGGCAAGGTATAGAGGCCAGCGTGAACTGTTGTGGGGAATAGGTGAGCATCTGCCGGGGGCAGGGGCAGGCTACTGGGGCCCAGGTGAGAACACAGACTCCGAGACCCGGGGCATTCCCTCCAGGCGTGCTTGGCAGTCTGGGCGGCTCTGAGAGGATGGTTGGATTGACCCAGGGTTGGGGTTTTGCTGGTCCAACTCAGAGGGTGGATGGGGAGAGGAGGCCATGGTCAGGACAACTTCAGCTGGTAGGAAGGGATGGAGGAGAGGGCTGCAGGGAGATGGGAGGCAGGGGAAGAGACTGCGGCCTTGGTGTTGGGCTCATGAACAGGTGTGGTGAGAGGAACTTAGGGTCAAAAAGGAGAACATCTGAATTTAAGATTCCAAAGGGAGAGAGCTTCTAGGTGATGAGGGCCCCATTTGGGCCATGAAATGAGCGGGAATTAGAGGCCAAGAGGTTAGCTTTGGGTGGAAGTCACGTGGGATGGAGGACTTGGGAGTCAGGTGCTCACACCTGTGGGAACCGAGGGTTCTCAGTGGAGTGTGGAGACAAGGTAAAGAGGGGGAGGGTGATGGGCGCTGTGCCAGTAGAGGAACAGTGGGCTGAAAGCTGCTGGACCCTGAGGGTGCAGCCATCCCAGGACCCTGGCGGCCTTGTTTCTAGTCAGATCTGTGCAGGATTACTAGGTGTTTCTAAAGATGGGAGAACTTTTAAAATGGGAAGTTGAGGATTTGTGATCTCAGTACATAATTCCTGGGAGCAGTTAAGTAGGTAGCAGATGTCAGTTCTCTTTGTTACTGCTTTAATAACCATGTTCTTTTGGTGTCTGGTGGTTAGAAATTAGTGACTGGCCTGTGGGGGCCGCTGTGGCGTGTGGACGCCCACGCTTTGCAGGTGAGGGGTGCTAGCACTTCGGCCCCCTGTCCGAGGCCATGTGCCATTCTGTGCGTTCACTTCCCATCAGCACACACATTTCCTTTGTAGTTTTACATGGGCATCGACAGCACATTTTTATTTTGTCCTTTGTTGACATTACTGCACACATCTTCGTGAAGGAAGCTGACTTGTACCCGTTGGCTGACTGGTGACGGATCTTTTGTGTGTGTAGTGGCTAAATTATTCAGGAGCCTCAGCGGTGGGCTCAGGGTGTCTGTAAGGTGAGAAACACCATCCAGCAGGGCAGCTGTGTTCACAGCGTCCCACACACCAGCGCCCCCCAGTGCTTGAGCAGGGACACAGCAGCGTTACCGCCCCACAGGGTGGGAACCCCTCTGCACATTCCTCTGGACTGTGGGGGGGGGGGGGGGGGGGGGGGGGGGGGGGGGGGGGGGGGGGGGGGGGGGGGGGGCCAGGGCTGCCACAGTCTCCGCTCCCGTGACCTGGGACCTGCTCACCTGGGACCTGTGCTGAGCGTGAGTGTGAGCTCTTTCTCAAACTCCCGGGGCCCTGAATGTGTCCTGTCCTGAACGTGCTCCTGCTGGTTCAGTGCCCTGTCTTTGAGGAAGCAAAGAAAGCAGTAATTCCTAAATGGTAGATTTTTTTTCTTGCAGAAATATTGTGACAGATTGTGTTGTCAGAGAATTTGAACAGTATTTTAAAAACAAAGCTAATGCGTTCAAGTTAGGTGTACATGTCATACCTGGCTCTGAGGACAGACCTTTATCGGCATGGGATTCTGTGCTAAGTAGATATAGTAGATGTTTAATTCAGAGAAAAATTTTTTAATTTTTTTTTTAAATTTTTAAAAAAAGATTTTATTTATTTGACAGAGGGAGACCACTAGTAGGCAGAGAGGCATGCAGAGAGAGAGAGGAAGGGAAGCAGGCTCCCCGCTCCCCGCTGAGCAGAGAGCCCGATATGGGACTCAATTCCAGGACTCTGAGATCATGACCTGAGCGGAAGGCAGAGGCTTAACACACTGAGCCACCCCGGTGCCCCGATTCAGAGGAAATTTTAATCTGAAACTTTCTTGGGTGATCATGTGTTTGCTAATCTCTGGGAAGTACAGGTGTAAGTTTAATTCCACATACTTAAAAAATGTTTTGATGTTAATTTCTAACAACGTATCACTTTAAATTAAGACTATTTTCCTTTTATGATGCAGCGCAAGGTACTGAAAGACCTGTATTTTGACTCAAAAAATTCTTTTTAGCCAAAAAACTCCACCAATATATAGTGTTTTCCAGTTAGTACTTTTCTAAGCTAAGAAAAACGGACATTTTTCACTGTAAATGGAGACACACTTCATGGTACTCATGGATTACCATAAAATGCCCTCAGTAAACCAGTTATTCAGAACCCCTGTCGCTCTACCTTCAGTTACTTTTTTTTCTGGGTAAGTTCCAAGCATGGCTAATGGGCACAAGGATGGATTGATTTAACTTGCCCTTGTTCCTTCCAGTGGAAGCTCTTGGTTTCACCGCTGAGTAGCTAGGGTACTAGGAGGAGCAGTGAGGAGCGGATGAGGCACATGACCCGCCGTCAGAAGTATGTTACTGTTGTTGGTTTTCCATCCTCTGCTGCCAGGATTGTGCAGCTCTCCCGGGAGCAGTCAGCACACGGTGCTGTCTGCTGCTGAGTGTGCACCTTTCCAAGTAAGGTTTTCCAAAACAGGCACAACTATGAGACCTTCACTCTGTTGCTCTGAGAAAATATTTTGTTTACCGTCTACTTTCTACTTAAAATATTCAGGAGCAAGAATCACAGAGCTCAGAGATGAGCCAGTCCTTAACAGCATCTGCCAGCTCTTGTGGTGGGTAACGCATCATTTTTGAATTTTCTGCTTAGTGAGTGGACCACGGACTCAGGATCCAAGTTTAAAGAGAAATGGTGTGAAAGTCCCTGGTGAACATCGAAGGAAGGAGAACGGGGTAAGTGATGGTTTATGTGCTTGCCGGCTGCTCTTGTAACAGTTCCTTCTCGCTCATTGCTACTTCATAGCCACTTTGTCACTCACCACTTAGGAAGGATGGTTTTTGCTACTTTGTTGCTCAGGGGGTTATGAAGGATGGCTGAATTAGTTGTTTTTTTTTTTTTTTTAAGATTTATTTCTTTATTTGAGAGAGGTGAGAGGAGAGAGAGCATGCACAGTAGGGGTGGGAGCAGAGGGAGAGGGAGAAGCAGACTCTCCACTGAGCAGCATTCGATCCCAGGACCCTGAGATCATGACCTGAGCCAAAGGCAGATGCTTCACTGACTGAGCCACCCCACACCCCTGAGGTGCCCCAACAAGGCCTGCTTTTTATTTTTATTTTTATTTTTTTTTAAGATTTTATTTATTTATTTGACAGAGAGAGATCACAAGCAGGCAGAGAGGCAGGCAGAGAGAGAGGAGGAAGCAGGCTCCCCGCTGAGCAGAGAGCCCGACGCGGGGCTCGATCCCAGGACACCGAGATCATGACCCGAGCCGAAGGCAGCGGCTTAACCCACTGAGCCACCCAGGCGCCCCAAGGCCTGCTTTTTAAAGGGTTGTTTCAAATGTATTTCATAGAAAGGATTAGTTTTAATGCTTTCTGCATGGCTGACTGTTGAGAGCAGTTAGATGCTGGATATACTGCAAATTCAGAACAAGACAAAGGGTGAATGAGGTTAAGGGAGGATTTTTTTGTGCGTGTGATTTTGTTTTTTGTTGTAATCGCTTTAGTAAAATGACAAAGTACATGTTAATGCCCTTGCATGTGAATTTTAGCAAGTATCTTCGGGGGGCACCTTACGGACGTTTTCTTTTCAGGGCTCAGAATTTTTAATACTGTAAGGAATTAGCTATGTCATCTTTTTCCAATCTAGGGTAAATTTATGGGAGAATGCAGGCCATTTGGTCCTGCCCTGCTTTTCCCCAAATTCTTGTTTCTCTTGTGAGATCATATAGTTCTTTTACAGGGATGAAAAGCTCATATAAGGATGACCAAAAACTGTTTTAGCCATTAACAGGGTTTGAATGCATCTCGACACAGGGTATCTTTCCCCCTCACTGGGTTTTATGGAAGTATCATAAACGGCTCACAGTTTGAGTACACAGTGTGGTAAGTTTTCACATGCCTGTACCCGTGTGAAACCGTGCTCATCAGCATGGTAGTGACACTGTCTTTCATCCCCAGAGTTTCCTCGTGTCCTTTTGCAACCCTTCCCTTCTTGCCTCTCTCCCCATCCTCCAGGACCCCCTGGCGGGTCCACTTTCTGTCACTACAAGTTAGTTTTATTTTCTGGACTTGTACATAAATGGAGTCATGCTGTCTCAAGTCTTTTTGTCTGAATTTGCTCAGTGTCATTATTTTGATCCATCTCCTGTGTATCAGTAGTTGGTTCCTTTTTATCGCTGAGACGTCTTGCCTTGTCCGGATGTGGCTTGTTCATCCATTTCTCTCTTGATGGATATTGGGGTTGTTTCCAGCTTTGGGTTACTCTGTATTAAGTGGTAACGAATATTTGGGTGGACGTCTTCGTATGGGTATATTCTTTTATTTGTCTTGAGTAAATACTAGGAGTGGGAGGACAGAGTCACGCGGCAGGTGTGTGTTCGCTTTTTAAGAAGCTGCCAAACTGTTTTCCAAAGTGATTTAGTTTATAATCTCATCAGAGTTCCAGTTTTTCCACATCCTTGCCACATTGGGTGTGGTCAGTCCTTTCAGTTTTGGCTAGTGGGCTTTAGTGTGTATTTCTCTGATACCGATGACCTTGGTGTCTTTCCGTGCCCTGGTTTGTCATTCGTGTATCTTTTTTGGTGTGAAGTATTTGTTCAGCTCTTTTGTTCATATTTTTCTTTGTTGGTTTGTTTGCTTTCTTAGTATTGGGTTTGAGAATTCTTCCATAGTCTGGATCCAGGTCCTTTATTAGGTAATATGATTTGCAAATATTTTCCCCAATCTGTGTCTTGTTCTAAATTTTGGTTAAGTATAATTGCTGAACTTAGAAGTTTTGTGCTGTTACTCTACATTACATTTTATGATCCATTTTGGGTGGACATTTGTATGTTGTGTGAGAATTAAAGTTTTGTCCATGGATAGGTGGATACTCAGTTGACTGAGCCATGTTTGTTGAAAGGACTGTTTGTCACCCCAGTGCCTTTGCACCTCTGTCGGAAGTCAGTTGCCTGGTATACATGCGGGTCTGTGTTTGTGCTCTCTGCTTCTCTGTCTTGCCATCAGCACTACCCATGTTGGCTCCCAAAGCGAGCTAAGTCGTGCGGTCAGGTATTATGAGAAACCTGGTGGGACTGTGCCCCTCAGTATACCGCCATTCAGTATACTGGGGTTATAGGTTTCCAGGGCATGGGTCTTGGACATCTTCTGTTAAATTGATTCCTCGGTACTCTGTGGTTTGTATGCTACTATAAATGGTCTTTAAAAATTTTTTTTTATATTTCTGGTTGTTAATATAAGAAATACAGTGGATTTTTGCATAACAATAATTTATCCTGCAATCTTGCTAAACAACTTCTTAGTTCAGGTAACTCCTCTGTGGATTCCACATCATTTTCCTCATGGGCGACTGGATACAGCTGGATACAGCTCATGTTGTCTTCTCGCTCTGCTGCACACACTGGCTAGAATGCCTAGGACCACGTTGTATAGAGTAGACATCTCATTTGTTCCTGATAACTTGTATCTCCTGAATTTTCTGATGCTAGTGCAGTATTTGTAAGGGTCGTTCTAAGTTAGCTGCCAGGGCCCCAATAGCATGTTTAGTGTGATCCAACATTGTTTTTCTAATATAAATTCAGTCCAGAACAAGGTAATTCTAAATTGTTCCATTTCCGTCACAGACTACTGAGACTGTTTAATTTTACATTTATAACTTAAAAGAGTGTTGGTTCGTATATTAGTGTGTCTTCCATCGAAACAAGTCATTGTGGGGATATTAATATAAAAATTAGTGACCTCTTTCATGTTATGGAAGAAAATGGCAAACTGTGTCTGGAGGGGCTCAGGGCAAACTTCCACAGGCCACTGAGGGAGGGGTTCCAGGTGAAGCTGCCACAGGCCTCTAGAGGGAGGGGCTCAGGGGAAGCTTCCACAGGCCTCCAAGGGAAGAGTCTCTGTGCTGGTCTTGCAGCTGGCTTCTTTGTGTTCTCATGCGTAGGTTAACAGCCCCAGGATGGATCTGACTCTTGCTGAGCTTCAGGAAATGGCGTCTCGCCAGCAGCAGCAGATCGAGGCCCAGCAGCAAATGCTGGCTACAAAGGTAAAGGTCCTGTAAAGACTGGACAGGCCCCTCTGTGGATGCTGTTATGCCAGGGACCCCAAGATACAAGTTGATCCTGTCAGCCCACAGGTTACCTGCTTTGTGCCACTTTCTTCTCTTTACTACAGCATTTTGTAGAAATCCTTAGATCATCCAAGTTGCTTAAGATCTCCAGAACCCTAGTTCTGATCAAAATTAACCACATTATGTTGTGGATCAGGAAAACAGCAAAGGCATAAAGAGCCCTTTGACTTTGCTAGAGGGAACTGCTCTGGGCTGATCCGTCCTGAATCATTACTGCAGCAAGAGGGACTTGTAAAATCAACCAGTGCTAACCCTGTCCCCTTCTGCTGTGTGGCGCTGATAACAGGCCGCTTGCCTTTATTTGGGACATGCTGCCCCCACAGACTGATCCTTATCCTGGCCTCGAACAGGTGAAACAGGAGAAGCTTCTCTGTTACCGTCCACACCAGTCTCCCTGTTGTTTCTCCCGCCAACCTGAACTCTCGTCTGACCCAGATGGCACCACGCTTCCTCCATAAAGGCTGGTGGTCAATGCTGTGGGCTCTGTGGGCTTCTCAGCATTGTGGTCATGGCAGAAAAGCAGCCATGGACAAACTCGTGACTGGCTGTGTGATGGGGGAACACAGATGGCGGGCTGGCCTTCACTCGTCGCCCCGGTCTGAACACTCCATGTCTGCAGCTGGCCATGCCCACGGGGACTGTATGGTTGCTGGAGTGGGGTAGACCATTGGTGCAGGGTCCCCGGCAGCACGCCCTGTGGCGTGGGTAGCACTCACTGGGGTTCCTATGGGTCCGCTTCTGTCTCTGACACCAGGCGCTGGTGTTTTCAAAATCAGGGTTAGAGTGGCTTCTCAAACTTGAGCTTGCGAAGGAGTCCCCAGGGGGTCGTGTTGAAAACGCATATCTTGGTGCAGTGGGGATGGTTCGGGGTCTGGGAGTGTGCGTTTCCCACTAGGCTCCCATGTGGTGCTGAGGCACCGTTTCTTGAATGTCAGGGACGTGAATTCAAATAAAAAGACCGAGTAATAGAATGCATCTTTGACCTCAGGGTCTTCTCTTGAAACTATTTTTGTGTTATATATATTTCAGAGATATTACTCTGAGAAGTTTTATTATAAATTGTGTGGCTCTTTTACTTTTTAAAAAGATTTTATTTATTTGAGAGAAAGAGAGAGAGTGCGCGCGTGAAGGAGAGGGAGAAACAGGCTCCTGGTGGAGCAGGGAGCCTGAGTCCAGAACCCTGAGATCATGACCTGAGCTGAAGGCAGACACCCCAGGCGCCCACTGTTACTCACTTTTAGTGAAGTAACTAGTGTAGTATACTAGAAACAAAGTGTTACATTGTGGGTTTTAAAGCCAGGGTGGCTCTTAAGCTTTTTGCTAAGTGTGTGTGCTGAGTGTACATTAGCTGTGTGAGGTTCTGTGCAATGAGGTACACACTCATATTTCATTTATTCCTCACCGTGGCCCCATGAGGCTCTTGATCACCCTGTTTTTGGCTGAAGAAGGAGACCCCTGTCCTCGGTGAGGGTATGTGGTTGGCTGTCTCCAAGCCCATAAGTGGCAGAGCTTGGGTTGTAAGTCCGAACTGGACTCCAAGGCCACCTTTGTAGTGAGCGCCTCATGTTTCTCCGTGTGCTCCTCCCCAAGCACGAGCACCCCCTGTGGGATCACTGTTCCCCGGCTGTGCAGGAACCCCTGGGAGTAAGAATGCTCGTGCTTGGGTCTTTCCCCAAGAGAGTGTCGGGTTGGGCCTAGGAGCTGTGTCCTTCCCTCCTGGCGGAGATGGATCCAGCAGCGTGCAGGATGGCTGGTCACCGCTGCCTCGGCCTCCGGCTACGCTCAGCTTCCTTTGGGGCCGATACACCTTTGAAAAGGATTTGCCCGACGATGGCTTCTACCTTTTAGGAACAGCGCTTGAAGTTTTTGAAACAGCAAGATCAGCGTCAGCAGCAACAAGCTGCTGAGCAGGAGAAGCTCAAGAGGCTGAAGGAGATGGCTGAGAACCAGGAGGCTAAGCTAAAGAAGGTGCGCGCCCTGAAAGGCCACGTGGAGCAAAAGAGGCTCAGCAACGGCCGACTGGGTGAGTGGCTCCTGGAGGGCCCTGGCCAGTGCTTGTGGCTCCACGGGGACGGGGAGCAGGGACGTGGGTGTGGGGCGCTTACAGCCCTGCGTGAGTGACGGAAAGCCAAGGCTGTGTGTGTAGGCAGCTTTAAAATTGAAGCTTTTCAAAGCACAATTCCCTGCAGTTTTGATGCTTTTGGTTTGTGTGAATTGAATTTAGGTGTTGGGTGTTTCATTATTTTTTTATTTTTATTTTTATTATTTTGGTGGGCAGCAAAGGAGAGTTTATTGAGTGATCTAGTACATAGCTTCCACACAGGGAAGGGACCCAAGAGGGTTGCTCATAGCTGCTGGGATTTTTAGACAAGCTTTTTAGAAATGTACTAATGGGATTTTGTTTTTCTTTCTAAATACTTTTGACTGAAAATATGATGAAGGCAAGGATTTTTATTCATATAACAGGTCCCTCTATTACAATGCTATTTTAATTAAAATTTTCGTGATGTAATACCTTTCTGTACCACTATAAAACAGATTAAAAGTTCTCAATAAATTTCATTGTTTCTAAAATTTGGAGCTTAATAATATTCATAATATAAATTCTGCTAGAGATCTATTCAGAGGGAGGCACGGACATTTAGAAATGTCTATGTTGATTTCAGTTGCTTGTAAAAGAAATAGGTTGGTTCGAGGACATTTCTGAAAAACGTCTGTACTTTTTGTTAGGAAGTTTGTTGTAAAGCCCGGTTGCCTGGGAGTGCTCCATTCTTATTTTTCTTTTCAACTGTTGTGGCTTTTCTCGTTCTCATTCTAGTGGAGGAGATTGAGCAAATGAATAGTTTGTTCCAGCAAAAGCAGAGGGAGCTCGTTCTGGCCGTGTCCAAAGTGGAGGAGCTGACCAGACAGTTGGAGATGCTCAAGAACGGCAGGATAGACGGACGTCACGACAGTCGGTCTGCCGCGGCTGAGCTCGACCGACTCTACAAGGAGCTGCAGGTGCGGCCCGCTCCAGGGGCACAGTTGCCACAGAAGTGGCTTTAAGTGCGGGATTTCGGTTTCTTTTCCTCAAACTGGGGGGGGGACGGGGTGGGGGGAACACCCAAACCTCAAAGAGTCTAGAATAAACTTAAGATTACCTGACACAGGAAATTGGAGGCATTCCTTACAACCACAGTGGGTGGGCTGACAGTTTTAAACCATAAGATGGAAGTGGGGAGAGGTGGAGGGACCTTACATTTTTAGAAATTATGTAATAGTCAATCATGTGATTATCTGTTTGAGAAATTTTTCTTCCTACTCCTTGGCTACCCCCCCCCATTTTATTCAGTTACGAAACAAACTGAATCAGGAGCAGAATGCCAAGCTGCAGCAACAGCGTGAGTGTCTGAATAAGCGCAATTCAGAGGTGGCGGTCATGGACAAGCGTGTTAATGAGCTGCGGGACCGGCTGTGGAAGAAGAAGGCGGCCTTGCAGCAGAAGGAGAGCCTCCCGGTAAGTGGCGGATGCTGCCCCGCGGGTCACATGGGCAGCCGCCTCTGGAGCCGCGCCCGGGTGTCCTCCGGGCAGAGGGCCTTCTGCCGGGGACAGAGCGAGGGCCGCTCCTCCTGCCGCGGGGCTAGGGTGGGTCGGCTCCAGGACACTGTGGGGTGAGACCCCGGAAGCGCTAATTTTTTACAGATTAGCGAGTGCCACAGCCTCTCTGAGTTGGATGCGGTGGGACTCATCATGCTCCCGTGCCTCTCCCTAAGGTCTCATCGGATGGAAACCTGCCTCCGCAAGGGCTGCCGGCACCCAGTCGTGTGGCCGCAGTGGGGCCCTACATCCAGTCGTCCACGATGCCCCGCGTCCCCTCGAGGCCTGAACTTCTGGTGAAGCCAGCTCTGCCGGACGGCTCCTTGGCCATGCAGGCTCCAGAAGGGCCGCTTAAAGTACACACACTGCCCAACATGCGCTCTGGGCCCGCCTCCCAGGGTCAAGGTAAAACGGGTCACTTCCAGTCCCTCCCACAGCGTATTCTCCCTGTCCTCACTGTCATTTACTCCCGGGGTTTTAAAAAAAATGTCTTTCTATTCCTTATTCACGTTTAAGTCCTGAGAATCTTTGTGTGGTTTTTGCTAGCACTGTGATGCATTTCTTTTCTTTTCTTTTTTAAAGATTTTATTTATTAGAAAGTGAGAGCTAGAGAGAGCACACACAGAGGAAGAGGGAGAGTAATTGATGTAGGACTTGATCACAGGCCCTGGGGACCATGACCTGAGCCAAAGCAGATGCTTCACCAACTGAACCACCCAGGCATCGCCATGATAGGTTTTTTAACCCTAAATAATGCAATTCTGTTTGGGAATGAGATGAAATATAATATTTCGGCAATGAAGATTGTTTTGAATTCCTTCTTGTAAATGAGGACATTTTGATTTGATGTTTATAACTCGACCCCTTTTGCTTTTGTGTAAAAACACCGCATATGTGGTAGTGGTCTCATCATTATGGAAGGTGAGGTAGCGAGTACATTCTGCTGATCGGTGGTGCTTACTGTGTGTATGTGCTCACACAGGAGCCTTTGCTTGCTAGCACTTTATAGAATAAAGATAAACCTTCTGGAAGCTCACAGTGACAATAACGGAGGCACCTTGTGTTAGTGGTCTTTGCATCTGTGTAGTTCTCAGTGCGTGGGGAGGTGTGAGCCGGAGTAGTGTGACAAGAGTCCTAGATGAAGGGAGGCTTGTAGGAAAGCGGGATGAAAACATCCTCATTCAGACCCTGGGAGAAGAAATAGTGGCCAGTATTGTTTCTTTTCCCCAGCCACTGTCACGTGCAGAATATGGCTAACGTTACAGTTGCGATTATGTTGCCATAATTACCAGGGTTAGGTGATAGAGCCCCTGGTCTGGGTCTCCCTGCAGAAAGAACTGGCTCTGTTTTGCTGCTATTAGGACAGAGCTGTGGCCTTGATGCTTCCACATCTGTGTAGAGAAAACCTGCACAGAGCACACCGATCTGTGGAAGACTGATCCATGTCCATAGTTTTGCCTTTTTGTTGTGTGTGCGTAACTGGTGTGTCAGGTATGCCTTGGAACCCTTGGTCTGCGAAGTTGGAAGTTGTTCTGACTAGGACAGTGACAGTTTCGTACCAGTGAGAAGCAGGGTGTCCTCACTGGTTCAGGCAGATTTTCTGTTGACTACAATTAATCTTAAATTTGTTTCAGTAAGTTTAAATTAGGAATCTGAATTCTCATATTTTCTAAATAAGTTTAAGGGATGGTTGGGAGTCTGAAATTTCAAGCTGTTTTTAGAGCGAAAGGAACCATTAGAGATCTGTTTGGAATGCTAGGTTACTGTGGTTGCTTTTCTGCATTGTAGGCTCTAAAATCCATCTGCTCGGCCCTGACTGGAGCTCCCCAAGTGCAGACATTTCTGCGAGCCAAGCCTCCGTGCCTGCGAGCTCAGGGGATGTCCCGGACCAAGGTGAGGTTCTCTTCTGACATCTGAGAGGCGCTCCACGCTCTTTTTCTTCTTTTTTTAAAGATTTATTTGAGAGAGCGAGAGTATGAGTGGGAGGGGCAGAGGGAGAGAGAGAATTTCAGACAGACTCCATGCTGAGTCCAATGTGGGGCTCCACTGCACAGCCATAAGATCGTGACCTGAGCCAAAACCAAGGGTCAGACGTTCCACTGTCTGTGTCACCACAGTCTTCTTTAGTTTGTTTTCTGGTGTGTCAAACCTGGGGACGGTGTTCACTTCCGGAACACCTTCATTTAGCTATGGAGTTCAAGGTAGTGGCGTAGCATCTGGGCTGTTCTCCAGTTAACTCAATTAAAAATAGGGAAGCATGTCTTGGGGGTGTGGTTTCAAGGAGATTGAGGAGTGGGAAACTTACATGTGAAGAAGAGGTCTTACTACAAATGGCTTGAATCTCCTTGTGATTTTTTCCATCTTTAGGTGATGATGGAGAGGTTCCCCTGAGGGAGAAGGAAAAGAAAGTGCGTCCCTTTTCGATGTTTGACACAGTGGATCAGTGTGCCGCCCCGCCCCCCTTTGGGGCTCTGAGGAAGAACCAGAGCAGCGAGGACATCCTACGGGATGCTCAGGTGTGAAGAATGGCTCAGGTTAACATTCAGTGGTAATTCTGTATATGCTCTTTAGAAGAGAGGGACTATCGTGTTGAGGGAGAGCAAGAAAAACCAAAATATTTCTGGAAGATGAGAACACAGAATTCTGTCATTTTGAATTCTGCAGCTTTAAGCGTGTTTGTGGTAATTGGAGAAAGGCTGCCATCCTTGCTGCTGGCTCCCATTCTTGCTGCTGGCTCCCATTTTGTGTGATTCTCTGAAAACTAGGAGCGTGCTGAAGCACATTGTGTGTGCACTACTCAGCGACCCTCTGGCTTCAGAATCTGGAGCCGAGGTATTGTCAGTAATGATTTGGCGTGAATCTTGTGTGACTGTTAGGATCCTAGCCTTTGACAACAACGGGTGATGGTGGTGTGCTCCCAATTAGGTGTTTTCACCACAATGGTGTGATGAGCAAGGAGGACTTTGGGTTATTTGGTCCATCTGTGAATATGTGGAGTGGGAGTCTCCCGAGTCGGGGGTGATGATGAGGAGAGGCGTGCGGGCAGGAACCATAGCACAGTCCTCTGGTTCCTTATTTTTTTATTTTTTTTTTTAAAGATTTTATTTATTTTATTTGACAGACAGAGATTACAAGTAGGCAGAGAGAGAGAGGAGGAAGCAGGCTCCCTGCTGAGCAGAGTCCAATGCACGGCTCGATCCCAGGACCCTGGGATCATGACCTGAGCCGAAGGCAGAGGCTTTAACCCACTGAGCCACCCAGGTGCCCCCTTTGGTTCCTTATTAAACGTAGTTCAGTGAAGAGACCTATGAGTTTTTAATTGACTTGAAAACATAGAGCTAGTATTCGCGAAATCCGGTTATCTAGCACATGCTATATACCCATTTGGACAGTGTTTTAACTGCCTTGTGTGTGTGTGTTTCAGGCTGCAAGTAAAAATGTGGCTAAAGTGCCGCCTCCTGTTCCGTCAAAACCAAAACAGATTAACTTGCCTTATTTTGGGCAAACCACTCAGTCAGCGCCAGACATGAAGCCGGATGGAAACCCTCCACAGTTGTCAGCAGGTGTGGCGTCCATGGGAAGCAAACCAAAATCAGGGCAGCCACAGAGGGTCGTGGTGTCCCCCGGCGCGCCCTCGGCCAGCCAGGGCCAGGCCTTGTCTGCAGCTGGGAAGCAAGAGAGTCCTCCAGCCGCGGCCGTCCGGCCCTTCACCCCGCAGCCTTCCAAGGACACCCCTCCCCCACCCTTGCGGAAGCCCCAGACCGTGGCCACCAGCTCCATATACTCCATGTACACGCAGCGTCAGGCTCCCGGGAAGAACTTCCAGCAGGCAGTGCAGAGCGCGCTGACCAAGACCCATTCCAGAGGGCCGCCCTTCTCCACCGGTAAGCTCTGGTCCCGTTTGCACTGGAGCAGGGGGCGGCTCAGTCCCACCTGGAGTTGTCATCTGTCCGTGATTGGCTGAGTTGACGCACGCTTGTGTCCTGAGGGCTTTGTGGGGTGGCAGCTTGTCTTCTTGCCTGGGTGCTGAGCTGGGTTTCCACTCCACGTCACGGAGGGATGAGTGGGTGCCATAGCTGAAGAAACCCGTGGTGCAGACATAGCCTTCTGTGTCCCCGCTTGCTGGGCCCACCACGTGAGTGAGGCCCGTGCAATGTCCTCCCTGTGGGGTCCACCCCAGGTGCTCCTGGGGTGGACGGAGGGATAGCTGCCCTGAGTCGCGCTCCCCACTGTGTCTTACGTTGCTCTCATGAGGACACAGCTGCTAGTGAGATATAGAAACATGGGAAGACAGACAGTCTAGTGATCTGGTGGGTTCTTTCTAAGGGTCATTTGTTTATAAAACTAAAATCGAGTTCACCCTGTTTTAATTGAATAATGGTGGCTTTCTGGTCACGAAATCACGTGATTGTGCCCTGAAATGTACCTCAAGTAACCAGACAACAAAGAATTTATACATGTGCTGTGGCTGATTCGGCTTCATTGAGAACTGCTAATGCAGTAATTTGGAAATTGGATAGTTTTGGTAGAATCAGAATGATAAGGGGAATGGTTTTATTAAATATAAGTGGTTCTTAATGTTGTCAGCCAAATACAATCCCCCCTCCTTTATTTACTTTTGAGACATATGAAAGAGAGGGTAGTTCGTGTTTAGTTTTAACCCAGACGCAGGAAAGGATTGCTTTTTTATGTTGTTTTCATATTTTGACATTTTAAGTTTGCTACAAGCAGTAGTTTCTTTCTTTCTTGCGTTTTTTTAAAAGATTTTATTTATTTGACAGACAGACAAGTAGGCAGAGAGGCAGGCAGAGGGAGAGGGAGAAGCAGGCTCTCTGCTGAGCAGGGAGACTGATGTGGCGCGTGATCCCAGGATCCTGAGATCGTGACCTGAGCTGAAGGCAGAGGCTTAATCCTCTAAGCCCCCTAGGCACCCCAGCCGGTGTTTTCTTACAGTTATAATGGCAGCATTTTTCTTCACAGTACATGAAATAATGGCACGTGTTCCCATCAGTGAGGGTTTTCATTCTGTGGTAAGTTTACTGTGCTAACATGGAAGCCTTGCGTGGTCTTTTGTTGTTTTTAAAAAATCACTTGTGTTGAAGGGTGCCGTGTAGTAACTGTGAAATTGAAGGCGGCTTTCAACCTTGTGCCCTGTGTCTGTTACCTGCCGGTTTGATTTAATCCTCATCGGGGCTTTGTTTCCGCTTCCGATCAGTGTACGGCAAGCCTGTGATCGCGGCCGCCCAGAACCAGCAGCTGCACCTGGAGAACGTGTACTCCAGCAGCCAGAGCCAGCCTGGCAGTCCCGAGCCGGATGTGGAGCCTGTGGCCTCGGGCCAGGAGAGCCATGAGAATGAACGAATTCCTCGGCCGCTCAGCCCCACCAAACTGCTACCCTTCTTGTCCAACCCCTACCGAAACCAGAGCGACGCCGACCTGGAAGCCCTGCGCAAGAAGCTTTCTAATGCGCCGAGGCCACTCAAGAAACGGAGCTCGATCACAGAGCCGGAAGGTCCAAATGGGCCGAACATCCAGAAGCTTCTGTACCAGAGGACCACCATCGCTGCCATGGAGACCATCTCTGTTCCCTCGTATCCGTCCAAGCCGACGCCCGTGGTGGCCGATTCTGACAGCCCAGTTGAAACCCAGAATCCATATTTACACGTGGAACCCGAGAAGGAGACAGTCTCTCTCATTACTGAACCAGTGTCCCCAGAGGACGTGGGAAGCGCCAGTTCCGAGAACAGTGACACGGCAGCTCTTTCCCCGGGCCTTGATTACGTGCCTGAAGGAGTCCCAGACAGCAGCCCCAGTTTCCAGAACAGTGCGGAAGAACCAAGTGCAGAGGCCCCCCATCCACTGGAAGTGTACCTGGAGGAGTATCCCCCATACCCACCCCCACCATACCCGTCTGGGGAGCCGGAAGGGCCGGGAGAAGACTCGGGCAGCATGTGTCCACCTGAAATCACGGGGCAGGTGTCTCTGCCTCCTGTAAGTAGCGTGCTGTCTCACAGTCCTTTCAGGAGACCCCCTTGTCACAGATTTCCAGGTGGTTGACTCTCAAAGACCCGGGGAAACACACAACTGCTCAGGGCCATTTGCAGAGGATGGTCTGCCTGTGAATTCCCTTTAGCGCTCAGGAGAGCTCAGAAGTATGAGGAAGATTTGGTGTATTCAGGGTAAAGAACATCTCTGTTTTTTAGGAAGAACCCTTCTCTTTGGGAAGAGGTGAATTGGGTTCTTTACAATACAAACCCCACGCCTCTGTGGCAGTCCCTCTTGGGAGGCTGGTGAGGCTGGGAGGGAGGAGACCAGGCTCGGAAACTCCCTCCCTTGACCAGCTCTGTGAAATCAAGCAGATGGTGCCCCTTTCCTCCACAGTGACATCACTCTTTTACACTGTTCTTCCTCTCAGTGATGTGTATCTTTAAGGAACTGTTTCGGGGATCCTCAGACTTCCAACGTTGGTAAACTTGGGAGTGTGTGGGACAGATGGGGGTGGGACGAGCCTGTTCCTCTCCTCCCAGGTAGGGGACCCCTGGCGTGCCCCTGAGCCCCAGCTTCCCTTCCTCCCAGGCTGTGCGTGTGTTGACTTGGGCACATGGTGCACAAGCCTTCCAATTGTCATGCCTTTGTTTGCAAGTCTGTTGTGTCCCTTTTAAGTCTTCGAGAGAGGATCAAAAATCCCAGGGTGTCCTTAAATAAAGTTGACTTTTCAGGTATAGCTGGCATTGCGCTGTTTCCGTAGGATGCGAAACTGTGAGTCTTAAAGATCGAAGCAAAATTGCATATTGTAGGGATTTTTTTAAAGTGCTTTATGTTTTTGATCCCTCATTGCATCTTTGAGATGTAACGGTATTCAGAGATGATTATTGTCTTGATTTGTTATAACTGCTGGTTACTGTGGATGTTTGCTTCCAAGTTTTATACAGCACATTGTGGATTCTAGGGGACAAGGTTTAAGTAGAGATTAGGCCTTGAAACAGCGCTGTGCCCTGTCTGTCCCGGCGCATGGCTCTCTGCAGCTGGCGTTAAACTTGTGGGAAGGAGAGACGACTTCACACCTCTTTTTGCTGTGTCCCCACCCCTCTTTAGTCGTTAAGTCAAAATGATTCACGTACCCAGGGGCAGAGGAGACCGGAGGGTCACAGTGTCACCATCCGTTCCTGTCGTCCTGGGGGAGTGATTTCCTTCTTGTCTGGCTTTGCGAGAGACCGAACTGCGTGTCAGGCTTATTTGGAGTGTGCATGGGGTCCTGCCCATCCCACTCGTGGCTGCATCTCATGGTCATGTGACATCTACACTTCCTGTTTCCCAGAAACCTTGGCAGTTGAGTTGTAGCACGTTTGTGAAGTGGAGTGATGGCCGCTTGGTGTTTTCTAAACCTCGGTGGTTTTCTGCATCCGAAATAGAGTTAAGGACCAGGCCGCATAGCACAGCGAGCCTCAGGAAACGTTGCCACTTTGCTGGGCGTGTGTAGGAAACTTATTGAATGGCTTGTTAAATCAGTCTTAACACTTTTGCTCTATTGTATTCATAGTCAAAGGGCTTGACTGACTGGCTCGTGTATCTTGGAGTATAGTCAAATTCTGAATGTAAAGTAGGGATAGCATTTTAAGACTGGAAAGATTTCTTGTCAGTATACGTAAGACAGGCTGATAATACTTATTATTTCCTTGGTTATATGCTTTCCTCTGATGGTTGAAGGGAAGGGATTTGAAGCCAGATGACTTGGATTTAAATCCCAGCTCTGGTGTTCCTGGCTGTGTGCCTTAACATCCTTTATCTGTACGATGGGGTCACAGGGTTTTGGTGGGGAGTCCACCAGCAGCCATTCATTAACATTAGCCATGATAAGTCTGATTGTGCTGTCGCCTGGTTTAATCGTGTGGGGTTTGCCAGCCTAACTCAGAGAGGGAACTTGAAGGCCAGTCTTGGCCGATTTTGTGCCCCACAGAAAGCCAGCCTGCTCTCATCGCCTGTTAGACCTTGCCGGCTTTGTTACACAGGTGTTATTCAGTAAGCTATGTATTGTGATTTATATACATTTCTAGATAATGTTTCATGTCCATAAAATGCGCTGATACGGATTTTTAAATGTACGTTTACTTCCTCAGCTGAGACATTCCTCCTCCCCTTCCCTAGGTCTGCTCTCAGAGACCTGGGTCCTTACTTCGTACCTCTCTCCCACAGGGCAAAAGGACAAACTTGCGTAAAACTGGTTCGGAAAGGATCGCGCATGGAATGAGGGTGAAGTTCAACCCCCTCGCTTTACTTCTAGATTCATCTTTGGAGGGAGAATTTGACCTTGTACAGAGAATTATTTATGAGGTATGATTGGATTTGTAGATTTCTTAAATATGTTATATTTTGTTTCTGACTTCTGCTTAAGAAGCTCCTCTAGAGGGGGGAGGGGCTGAGGTAGGGAGGGACGAGGTGGGAGGGATGCGGAGCACGCTTGAATTTTGTATTTTTTTTGTATTTCGTATTTTGTATTTTATTTGTATCTTGTATTTATTTGTATTAGTTTTGTATTTTATTTTGTATTTTGTATTTTATTTGTATTTTGTGAGTTGAAGTGCGGTGTCCCTAGCACTCTCCAGAGTACTTTTCTGTCTGGGGAGATGGTTCCTCTCTGTTTATAGTTGCTCCAGGGTGGACATGGACTTGTGCTGTTAAGTTGCACATGTGGTCCCTATTTTCAGAAGCCTACTATTTAAAATATTTTTAGTTGACCTTTTTTCCTTAACATGGGAAATGCACCTTCTCCTCAGACTCTAATTTGTGGTGGGGAGCCGGAGGGTAAATAAGCAAAAATGACTGAGGATATGGTTCCCAGCACCTGTTCATTTTTTAGACCTTTTTACAGTGAGTGCCTACTTAAAGACCGGCTCTTCTGGCGGTCTTATTTCTAGACCTGAGGTTGGTGTAGTCGTCTTGGCTCCTGGAGGTTTTAGTTATAACTTAAAAAAAAAAAAAAAAAAAAAAAAAGCAACCCGAAGAAGCCTATTTCTGTTCCCTTGATCCTGAAGAGCCAGGTGATAGTGACCTGAATGGTGACAGGAAGTCTGGGTGATAGCTCCCCTTCATCTTGATGTCGTAGGTTGATGACCCGAGCCTGCCCAATGATGAGGGCATCACAGCTCTGCACAATGCTGTGTGTGCGGGCCACACGGAAATTGTGAAGTTCTTGGTGCAGTTTGGTGTGAATGTCAATGCTGCAGACAGTGATGGATGGTAAGTCCCCAGCGACTGCCACCCTGGCCGCGGGGTGACCCCAGCGCTGCTGGACGCTAGGAGCATCCACAGGTGTCTTTGTGTGACAGTCCTCTTGCTCCTGTTCTGGAAGCATGTACAGTTTTTATGAAGTATTGTAGTTGAGTGATGAGAAGATGTCCCTGAGTGGCACAGATGTGGCCGACTTGTGTGAGTTTGAGAGGTATTGGTCCCAGCCCAGTCCCCCGAGCCCAGCGATGCCCATCTTCTGTCCACGGATGTCCACTGTGCATCTGCAAGAGGGAAGCAGAGTTTGGAGCATTTCCCAAGTGTATATGACTATGGAATCTTGTTTCACGGAGCGGTCTGTGGGATGGTCATGTGCATGGAACCCAGAGGGCATTGTTAGAGATGATGAGTATCCTTCGTAGGATCATGGGTTATTATTGCACACCAAAATAAGGGGTCCTGATAGGTGCTTTCACCTCTGATGACTGTAATAGAACAGAGAGCAGATTCTGTAATTCTTCTTTTTAAAGAAAGTATGAATTAGAATAAGCTTTTTCTTCGGAAGAATACAAAAAACTTTTTTATATACAGTTATTTAAAGGTAAACACCAGTTGTTTTTTAATCTTTTCCCTTCAAATTTACATAAATATATATTTTGTAGCCTAATTTTTTGGTTTATGTTTATAACCTAAGCAAAACAAATTCTTTTTTTTTTTTTTTTTAAAGTAAGCTCTACACCCAGCATGGGGCTTGAACTCATGACCCCAAGATCAAGAGATGCACGTTTCCCTGACAGAGCCAGTCGACACCCCCAAAACAAATTCTTAGTGTGTCATATATTTTTGTTTCCCTGTTACTAGCAGTTTAGGTCATATATAATTTTTCACTACTAAAAAAAGCATGCAGTTAAAAATTCTGCAGTAATAGTCACCAGACTTTGACCTACTGTGTTCTGGGATGCAGGGTGGGGGATCCGTGGTTTTGGAGACTGTGCACCTGAGAGGAACGGAATGAAGAGGGGCAGGAAGAGAAGGGTGGATGCGTGCAGTCTGGACCCGGGTCGCACGCTGCTGTCTGCCTTTGAGCTAGGCGGCGGCACAGGCTTCTCCCCCCTTACCTTGTCGGGGGTCGCCTGGAGCCCGCCGTGAATGTGTGAGAGGCTGGAGGGGCTCTCCGTAAGGGCGGCCGTAAGTTCCTGCCAGCCAGCGGCCTGTCAGACGGAATGTGTGTATTTCATAGTCGCTTTTCTCATCTACATTGAATAGACAAACCTCTACTCAATTAAAGCTCAATTTGGACTTCACAAGCTCTTAGGTGAAGGCAGTTCTCCGTGAGCAGCCCGATTCCCTCGTCAGTGGGAGTGGGAAGCGAGTATGGACAGGTGCCTGTGTCAGGGAGAAGGCCTCTGGTGTGAAGCCGGCTGTGCCTCGAGCTGCCCGGGACGCAGGGGCGGGTGCTCTGGAGCATCTCGCCCTGGTTTAGACCGTCACTCGCATGTCTTGGCCTTGCACGCCTTGCTTGTGGTTCCTCTTGCCCTCTGCACTGCCCCGCATAGCAGCGCCCAGTGTGGCCCGTCCTCGACCGTTCCTCCCTGTCCTCCTCTTGTGGGCTCAGATATCTGTGTTTTTTTTTTTTTTTTAAAGATTTTATTTATTTATTTGTCAGAGAGAGGGAGAGAGAGCAAGCACAGGCAGACAGAATGGCAGGCAGAGGCAGAGGAAGAAGCAGGCTCCCTGATGAGCAAGGAGCCCGATGTGGGACTCGATCCCAGGACGCTGGGATCATGACCTGAGCCGAAGGCAGTTGCTTAACCAACTGAGCCACCCAGGCGTCCCTCAGATATCTGTGTTTAACTGATTTTTAGAAAACCGTGTAGGAGGTTTCCAGAAGGGCCCAGACGGTAGACTCTGAGCGCTCGCACAGACGCCGGGCCTGCTGGTATCATGTACCGGGGGAGACCCTGCAGCCTGCTGTGTGTCGCCCCACAGGACCCCGCTGCACTGCGCGGCCTCCTGCAACAATGTGCAGGTGTGTAAGTTCCTGGTGGAGTCCGGAGCCGCCGTGTTCGCCACAACCTACAGTGACCTGCAGACGGCCGCGGACAAGTGTGAGGAGATGGAGGAGGGCTACACCCAGTGCTCGCAGTTCCTTTACGGTTTGTAATGCGCGCGTTCCCGCATGTTCATGACTGCGCTGATCTGTCCTGTGTTTCTGGGGTACCGTTTGCCAAGTATGTTTATTATCAGGGAAAGCATTTTTATGTCGTGCCTAGTCCTGGGCACTGGAAACAGGGCGGCCTCGATGCCTGTGATGAATGCAGCTTTTGTGCGTGTGTCTCTTGAGCTGCCCACACGTCACACGGCCCCGACCCCATGCGGGCCAGACACTGGGCCCCCCGTGAGTGGAGCCCCCTTCCATGACGGCCCCGAGGGATGGCAGGGGCCATGTGCGAGCCCGTGGAGCTGGGATTTCCCACGAGATCAGACTGATCGTGAAGTGAAAGAAGGGTGGCACCTGTTTCAGAGCCGAGTTCTGGCTCTTCTGTCGTCGTGGTTTTGCGTTTCTGATTCCGAGGGAGAACGTCAGCTCTGACTCTCGAGAACAAGATAGGCCTCTCTCAGGTGGCGTTTCTGTTCACGACTCTTACGAGCTGAGGTTCACTCTTCTCAGCTGGGCTGGAGCGGAAGTGAGGAGAGGCGGTAAGCAGTGCTGGGGGTCTGTGCCGTACACGCTTCGGGAAGCTGATCCGCCTGTCACTGGAAGGGCCACAGGGCTGGTGAGCCTGTCCCTCTGTGAGGCTGCGTCCCCGGCTCACGGGCTGCTCTCAGGCTCAGGAGGGGAGATGGGGTGGCCTCGCAGCTCTTCCCGTCAATTGTGGGCACAGGGGGTGACCTTGCATTCCTGTTCCCATCTTTGGATCAAGAATGATTTTGATAGACTGAGATTTTACTATTAAGATATTAATATATACTTTGTTATATGAAATGCAGTGGCCATCTTGAGCTTTACTTAGAGAATCTGATCTTAAGTTTTTGAATTTTTTAATTTTTAAAAAGATTTTATTTATTTATTTGATAGAGACAGAGAGGGAACATGAGCAGGGGGAGTGGGAGAGGGAAAAGCAGGCTTCCCGCTGAGTAGGGAGCCTGATGGGGGGCTCCATCCCAGGACCCTGGGATCATGATCTGAGCCAAAGGCAGACGCTTAACGACTGAGCTACCCAGGTGCCCTGGAATCTGATCTTTAAAGACACGTAGGGACTTGTGATCAGAGGCTTTACTTTATGGAACATACCATGAACACCATGAAAGCGTGGTTTTTGTTTTTTTTTTTTTAAGATTTTATTTATTTATTTGACAGAGGTCATAAGTAGGCAGAGAGGCAGGCAGAGAGAGGGGAGGAAGCAGGCCCCTGCTGAGCAGAGAACCCGATGTGGGGCTCGATCCCAGGACCCTGGGATCATGACCTGAGCCGAAGGCAGAGGCTTTAACCCACTGAGCCACCCAGGTGCCCCTGAAAGCGTGTTTTTGCCTTAGATTTGAAATGACCATGGCCTGGCTTCTCCCTGGTTGGGCCTGGGCGCCCTGCCCTCTCGTAGCCCCTCACACCTATGGCAGCTGCGACCTTGACCTTGACTGTTTTGTTCCTCATGTTTATCATTCCTTGCTTTTTAAAAATCCCTCTGTCACCCGTGAATGAATCCTGTAATTCGGGCTGGCGGGTTGTGCCTGGGTTTGCCCTTTCTGTGAACTAAGTCACGCTGTGATTCTCTGGCTTGCCTTTCCGTTCACGGTTGTTCTGGAGTCTCCTCTGTGTGGTGGCCCTGGTTCCTGCTGTCTGTCCTTATGGCTGCGTCTCCACATCTGTCCTTCCTCTCTACCTTGGAGCATTGGGGTGCGCATTCATTCGTAGTCACAAACGGTCCACGCGGAGTGCACCTGCCAGTCCCAGGGACGCACGCCTAGTACCTTTCCCGCCGTGTCCCCTTCTTAGTTCAGTGAATAGCTGAGTAAGGAGAAATTTTCTCCCATTCTTAGTGATTTCTTGGATGTGAGACTGAAGTTGTTATTTTTTTCTTAGACTATGATTTTCTAATTCTGACCAAATATCTTTTAATTAGTATTTTACAGTCATTCAGATTTTCCCAGGATAATCTCACTGACACTTTGGAGAGCTGTCATTTGAGCAAACCACAGTGCCCTGGATTTCTTTCCCGCCCCGTCCTACTCCCACTCCAACCTGGTGGAGGCCAGGTTCGCTCAGCGTGTCACCCTTGTGAATCTCACGGTCCCGTCTCATTGAAACAGGAAAGTTGGGAGCATAACCGTCCCCATCAGTAGGAACCTGACCCTTAGTCAGTGGAGCCTCTGCTGAAGTGCAGCTCCTTGTCCCGTGTCAGTTTGCCCAGAGCCATGGCGAGGTACCCAGTGCTCTGTCGTCTTAACTGATAGACGATTAAGTTCCATGTCCACGGAAGCTGAAAAATCTGATTGTTTGAGGGCAAGCAGACACTTCCCTGCCTTCTTTAACCCTGTAAAGGTGAAACCAGTAACGAGCTCTGCAGTGCTCGGGCTTCCTGACCTGACTGACTTGCCTTGCTTGCTGTGCCCGTGCTCACACCGTACCTGCCCTGTGCCCGGCCTGTGCCATCCCGTGTCTGCCCTGTGCCTGCCCTGCTCCCGCCCGGTGCCTGTCCTGTTATTACAGTGAAAGTGGACATTTGTGAGTTTCCCTATCCTCATGACTTTATTCTTGACTCTGCGTAGACTTTTTGTGTCTGAAATATTTGTGCATTCTTTGTGTCTTACAGTTTTCTTCCTCTCCCTTTCCCCACTTGGAAATGGGCAGGGACTGCTCAGTAGACACTGTCATTGTGAGCTGTGGTCACGGCTGCTCTAGGTTCCAGGTTAAGCATGAGGTAGTTTCTCCAGGGCTCCTCGTCCCCATGCTCAGCCGCGCTGGAGTTCGGCAGGCAGAGCGCGCGCTCCTCTAACAGCCTAGACGCCAGCAGTTCATTATGTTCCTGGGCCTGCAGGGCTTTCTGTACTCCGAGTAAGACTAGTTTCTGAGCTGCCTTAGAGAAGACCGTGGAGGCTAATGTGTCTGGTGGGCGTCCTCCCCCGCCCCCAGAGCTTTTGTTCATGGGGGGCTTCGTGCGGTATTTCCGGCGTTCAGCGTTTGCCCGGCTCTCCTCATGTGGCTTCATGGAGCCGAGGGTTTGAAGAGCGGGCGGTCCGAGCCATGCGTCCTGTGCGGTTTCTTCCTGTCATTTCAGGAGTTCAGGAGAAAATGGGCATCATGAACAAAGGAGTCCTTTATGCGCTGTGGGATTATGAGCCTCAGAATGGTGACGAGCTGCCCCTGCGAGACGGGGACTGCATGACCGTCATCCGACGGGAGGACGAGGAGGAGACGGAGTGGTGGTGGGCACGTCTGCACGACAAGGAAGGCTATGTTCCGCGCAACCTGCTGGGGGTGAGCGAGCCATGCGGACGGGTTGCTGTGCAGGCCGGGTGTGCGGGGATCGGGTGTGCAGGGGGCCCGGGTGTGCGTGGGCCCTAGTGGTGTGTGGGGCCCAGGTATGCGGGGGCTGCACTGTGTCAGGGGCTCTGTGCGGCTGAATGCCCTTTGCTTGCACCACATGGAATTTTAGAGTTTGGACAGTGTGAGGTTTACACTTGGCGGGCATCCCACGTCCATGCCTGCTAGCCCTTGAGGGCGGGGGTCCTGCTGCTTCCCAGCAGCGTGCGGGACATGGGTAACGTTGGCTACAAATGCCGCATCTGCCCTTGCCAGCATCCACGGAGCTGGCAGACAGAGCCTTCTCTCCTGTTCAGTGTTAAAACTGGAAACAAACTGTACAGTCGTGTGAGCGCGTGCAAGCTTTCCGCCCTGCTGTGTCAGGATAGAGGCGTGGCTACCCTCACCAGGGGGCTCTGGGGAGCGTTTGCAGGGAGGCGGCAAGGAGGGTGGGCCGAGGACAGGGAGTGGGAGTAACGTCCTGTGTGCGCAGGGGCTGAGGGTGGCAGAGTGGGAGGGGTGATGGAGAGGCTGAGAGGAGAGTCCAAACCAGAAGAGCCTGGCAGGGGTGGGTGGGGGAGAGTCAGCAGCATGGCTCCCCCCTCCACCCCTGCTCCACCCCGCCTCTACCCCTGCTTCACCCCTACACGCTCACTGTTGGGCAGTTAGGGGTGTGGCACACGGGCACAGAGAACGCTGCCTTTAGAGACTGCTGGGGTGTCTGAAGGACAGCGGGGGGATGTTTTCGTCCTCGTGTGGACCTGCTCTGGTGTTGAGGCTGTGAACCTGGGCTCTGTGTGCAAACGCGCTGCGGTGGTGGCGTGACCTGCGTGGCGTGACTGTGGTGTCGGGACCTGGCACCTACTGATCCTCCTTGCCCGTTCCTGTGTGTCCTCTGCCCTCTGGTCCATGGTTCCTTGTTAAGTCAGCCTTTGGGGCGTAGACGGTGTCCGCTGGTGGGACCATAATGAAAATTATGAAGCACAGACGAGAGCTAAGGAACCCTGAGCCATGAGCCCCTGAAGCTTCCCCGCCCCAGAGAAGCAGCTTGGCCTGCAGCCATATCCCCCTGAACACCAGCAGCACTTGTCACCGTTTCTTCCCTGGGAAAACCTCTGCGAACTGCCTGCGGGTCTGAGTCCTTCATTTTACTCCTCTAACAGAGCGGTCTGCGCCTCAGGAACTGGGAAGCCTCACTTGTCCCGCAGGGGGTGCCCTCAGGAAGCTCTGACCTCTGCAGACCAGACCCAAGATTCTCATGTTAATGTGACATTGAAATATTCTTAGCCTTTTGGAAATCTCTTTGGGGTAGAAGTGGCCTCTAAGTAACTTTTTTTGGTTTCGTTGGAGACTGAAAAACTGGAAATCGCATAAACAAGTTTTTAATCAGAGGCTCAGATGGGAGTCTGGAAGATTGTATTGACTAACGATCTTTTCTCAGGAAAATGGTCTTTTGTATAGTGTTGATCTGCCAGTTTTTCAGTTTTGGCTAGAAGTCCGACTCTCCTTTCTTACAGGGAACCGTGTTCCTTTTGTCTGGGTGGGCGGAAGGGGAGGGGGCTCTGTGTAGTTTGCCAGTTGAATTGCTAGTTTGACTCGTTCTTGGCTTGCGGACTGCAGATCTTTGAACTTCACAGGCTCCTCTCTTGCTCTTACTGTGGAAAACACAAAGCCACAGAAATCCACCAACAAAAAACTCCACTTACCCTTCCTTAAATCGGTAGTCTTTCAGTCTCAGGTCCCATGAGAGTGTTTGTCAGGCTGTTGTGAGTGAAGCTGACGGACCCTGATCTCTCCTGTCCCCCTTGCACGTGGCGCGTCACAGACCAGCTCCAGCCATCACAGGCCGAGCCTGGGGGCCAGGGCTTAGCGCCATCGCCCCCCATTACACTCCTGCGTGTCTGTCTCTACAACATGTAAAGCATGTCTCTGTTCTCTTGCAGCTGTACCCAAGAATTAAACCAAGACAAAGGAGCTTGGCCTGAAACTTCACAGATTTTAGTTTCTGAAGAATTAATCTTTGTTATCACTAAGAAAAAGTAATGTGATTGTTTTTGGCAAAATTTTCACAAGACTGACTTTAATGACAACGTAACTTGAAAGCAATGTAGAATGTCCTCTGGAAGAAAATGAAGGATTGGAGAATTTGCTGTCTGTAGGGGACGTTCAGCACGATGGACTGCAGCTTAAAAGTAAGCTGGCCACACTGTTGGGGAACGGCGTTCATGGAGCACTTGGGAAGATGAACAGTGACTGTCCTGGTTTTCTTGAGAAATAGGGCCTTGTTTGGGCTCCTGGGAGGTCGGCTTCCTTTCCCACCTGGTTGGTGTTTGTCTGTACCTCCCCTGCCCCCACCAGAATGGACCAGTGCCATCAAGGCTCCTCTGCCTCTCCCACCGATAGACCCCCAGGGGACTCCATTTCCTTGCGTGGATGTTGCTGGTGGAGAACTAACCGTTGGTCGGGTGTCCACAATCCCTGTTTGATAGGAGTTCTTCAGGACTACACATATGTTTGCGATCCTGGATCCAAGCTGTGCCACAGCTAATTAGATTTAGAACCTTGTTTTTAGGATGAATTTGAATCTATATTTATTGTCTTTTGTATCTTGGAAATTGGAAACGTGGCTGTATAGACTTACCCATGATATTTGTCAAGATCATAGCTGACTTTAAAAACAATTATAATAAAATTAAACTTTTTGACTCTAAAGCTATTTACTAGCCTTACTTTTTTATGTCATTAAAAGCCTTGTTTAAAGTTCACAAACTGTTGGGCGGCTCACCCAGTGGGAAAATAGTATTTCTTTACCAGCCATGTGATTACATGGAAGAAGTGTTGTTTTGCTTACAGAGAACTTGGTTTTGCAGTTGGTCAGTTCTGCATTGGGTTTTGATAGAGAACCCTGGGCACAGAGGGTCTCACCGTCCCTCAGCCTCTTTGAGATCGTCTTGTCCTCATCTACACTGTCTACACTCATTCATGGGTTTAAAATGTACATAGGGTCTCTACATTGGTTTTTAGTATGTTACCGAGTTTGTGCATGGCTTTGGAACCCATGCTGCTTAGTGGAACTCTTCAGTTAATAGAAACCACAAATGAGAAAACAAGTGCTCACTTTTTGTTGTACGTTTTTCTGAGCACCTAAATTCTAGCAAGAAAGGTGAGTGAAAGACAGAACATCCCACGCTCATCAGGGTAATGCAGAAACAGTATAGACACCTTGAGCTAGCAGTCAGAAGATCTGTGTGGTAGACAGAATTCTGAGGACGCCCCCCATCTTCCTCCTCTGGGGTGACAGTGTTTGGAGGTGGGGCCTCCTTGGGCCCAAGGGGGAGCCAAGGAGGCACGCACAATACCACCAGGTACAGACCCCACACACCCCATGAAGGGTGTTTGTGCTTGAAAGGAGGAAGAGGCCGCAGCCCTCCGCTCTGCCATGTGCGGACACTGCAAGAAGGTGGCCATCTGCATTCTGGGAAGGGTCCTCGCCAGATGGCAAGTCGGTTGCATCCTGATCTTGGACCCACAGCCTCCAGAACTGAGAGGTAGAGGTCTGTTGTGTGAGCCTCTAGGCTGTGGGGTTTTGTTCTGGAGCAGAGCAGACTAGGGGTCCTGGTTACCGGCCAGATGCTGATCTAGGTGCTTCTGTGAGGGACTTTTCCAATCAGCAGACGTGGGGACAGGGACGTCACCCTGGGCTGCTGGGTGGGTGCAGGAGAGGTGTGAGGGACTCAGCCCACCACTGGCGGCCACAAGGAGGAAGGGGTCATGTGCCAGGGAATGCTGCCCACAGCTGGGAAGCCCCTCCTAGGGTCTCTGCGGGGACCGGCCAGTCCCATGGGGCGGGCTAGGACTCCTGCTACAGGACCGTGAGGTGATGGGTGTTCTGTGTTTTGCTTTAAGATTTTATTTTTAAGTAATCTCTTTTCCCAGTGTGGGGCTCGAACTTGCCACCCTGAGATCAACAGTCACACGCTCCTTCCACTGAGCCCTCCAGGTGCTGGAGGATGGGTGTTTAAGCTGCTAAGCGAGAGGCAGCAAGTACAACAGGGCCTCTGGGCCTGGCCTGGCACTTCCTAACTGTCTGTGCGGCCTTGCCCGGGGCGCACAGTTCAGCATCACTTCTGCACACCTTGGCACGTGGAGGGACCCACGCAGGTACTGTACACAGAGGTGCTGGGAAATTGTAAAGAATCGCTCAGGTGTATGGAAGAGAAGACGTGAAAATTAGGAGAGCGTGATCATCTGTTTCCTTCATCCTAAACTAAGAAACTTCGCTTTTATTTTCCTTTTGTTTTTCCCTTATTGTCAGCTTGAATATCCTTGTATCAGAGGTCCTCGTGGAAATATCCCCAAGTACAGGGAAGGGTCCCGGACCTGGGGTCACGGTGCTTGGGGGTAGCTGAGGGCACTAGCGGGACTGCCGGTTACTGTGTCCAGTCAGGGTTTCTAGTCAGCCTGTGTGATCAGCATGTGTGGCCAATGTTTCTGGTCACCATGTCTGTTCGGGGTTTCTGGTAGTGTTAATGGTCATTGCATCCGGTCAGCGTGCCGGTTAGGGTTTCCTGTCAGTGCATCTGGTTACCGTGTCCGGTCAGCATATCTGGTCACTGTGTCTGGTCACTGTGTCCGGTCAGTACATCGGTCACTGCATCCGGTCAGGGTTTCCTGTCAGTGCGTTTGGTCACCATGTCCAGTCAGCATATCTGGTCACCACATCCGGTCAACACATCTGGTCACCGCGTCTGTTTGGGGTTTCCGGTTACTGTGTCCGGCCAACGTTAATGGTCACTGCGTCCAGTCAAGGTTTCCCATCAGTGCATCTGGTCTCTGCATCCAGTCAGCATATCCGGTCACTATGTCTGATCACTGTGTCCAGTCGGCACATCTGGTCACCGCGTCCACTATGTCTGATCACTGTCTCCGGTCAGCACATCCGGTCACCATGTCTGGTCAGGGTTTCCAGTCAAGGTTTCCCATCAGTGCATCTGGTCTCCGCGTCCGGTCAGCACATCCGGTCACCGTGTCCACTGTGTCTGATCACTGTGTCCGGTCAGTACATCCGGTCACCATGTCCGGTCAAGGTTTCCCATCAGTGCATCTGGTCTCCACGTCCGGTCAGCACATCCGGTCACCGCGTCCACTGTGTCTGATCACTGTGTCCAGTCAGCACATCCGGTCACCACGTCCGGTCAGTGTTTCCGATCAAGGTTTCCCATCAGTGCATCCGGTCTCCGCGTCTGGTCAGCACATCCGGTCACTGCGTCGTCACTGTGTCTGATCACTGTGTCCAGTCAGCACATCTGGTCACCGCGTCCAGTCACTGTGTCTGATCACTGTGTCCGGTCAGCACATCCGGTCACGCTCCGGGTTTCTGTGCAGGGGTTGAGAGCATGTGGCTTCAGCAGCCGTGGCCTCGTGCCTGTGACGTTGCTCATGAGCACGATTTCCGATGGCTGTGCGATTCCCCGTCACGTGAGAGATCCAGGTCTGACCCAGGCCCATGCTGGTCCCCAATTTCTAGAGTGACGCCCCTGAGCCATCTTCATGGTGGCAGTTTATAGATTTCTGAGGGAAGAGTAGGGCAGCTGGAGGGTGGGCCCTGCTGAAGAGGGGCTTCTAGTGGGGATGGGGGCACATGGAGGACAGGGCAGAGGGCAGAGCTCATGGTGTCAAAGGCACAGAAAATTGGGAAGATGCCGCTGGTTCTCCTTCATAGGTCTGGGCACTGGGAGGTAGGTGGTGGTCACAGGAAGCAACAGGGCCCAGGTGGTTGTGGGAGGGGAGGAGATGGGAGAGGGAGAGAGAGGAGGAGGAGGAGGAGGAGGAGAAAGGAGTGGGGGAGAGAAGGGAGAGGAGAGAGGAGGGGGGTGGGGAGAAAGAAAAAAAAGAGGAGGGAAGGAGATAGGAAGAGAGGAGGGAGGGGAGAACGGAGGGGGAGAGGAGAGAGAGAAGGGAAGAGACGGGAAAGGTGGGAGAGGGGCTGCTGGGCTTGGCTGGGAGGAGGGCGTGTCCCATGTTGGGAAGAAGGTGCCTCTCTCAGGGTGCTGGGATACTGCGTGCAGAAGAGCTACAGAGGCCATGTGCCCAGCCCAGAGACTTGGAGGCCTGGGACTGGGGCCACTTCTGGCAGGGTCAAAAGATGTGGGGTATTGACGCACTGGCTAACTTCTCCCTGTGAAGTAGGCGTTGGCGAGGGCTGCACTGTGTGGGAGAACCCCAGAAACTTGGTTAATTCTCCCCTCTTCATCCTACCATGCATAGACCTTCCCCGTGTGCTGGGACTGGACAGTGCCAAGTGAGTGGGTGAGCTGGGGCAGCTGGGCAGGCGCAGAGGGCCAGAGTCCGCAGCACGGACGTGGTTTTGCCTGGGCCTCTCCCCACGTGCCTGGGCCTCAGAGGCCTCCATCCTGCACCCTGGCCTGTGCTGCTGAGTGGAGGATACTCGCCAACCCTCCCTGCCTCCCCTCAGCCTGCACGTAGGGCCTGGGCACCTCCTTGCCAAGTCTGGGAGATGCCCCTCCCAGTCCCATCGCATCCCACTCCTCTGGCATCCCCCCGGGACTTCCGTGCCTGTTCTGCCAGCCCCTGTCACATCCCAACGCCTGAAGGCCTGCCTGGGCCTCCTCAGGGGAGACCAGAAGCAGGTTAGAGTCCCACCTACTTGGAGACCACTTATGAGCTTCCGGATTGTACAGTCGCGCACGTTCCTGTCACGAGGGGAGTTCAGATGTAGCAAGCCAGGACCAGTGTGGGCACAAAGCCCTGGCAGGCCCTCCAGGAAGGACAGCACTGTGCGGGACGGTCTGGGCCACTCTTTATTAACAGCAGGTGTGGGAGAAGGTAAGGCAACAAGGCGATACTTGCACAAAGCTCCTAGCGTTGTCCCGGGGTGGAGTCGGGGGTCCAGCTCCCACGCCACTTCCCTCCTGGCTCCACGCACAAGCAGGGCAGGGGTGACATCCAGGTAACAGAACCGCTGGTTCTGTCCTTGACCGTGACCCCGGGCCCCTGCGCTGGTGCATGCTTCAGGTAGCTGAGCCAGAGCTGATCCCCTTCAGCACCTGGGACACACCCCATGTGACACCAGACTGCTCAGGGTTTGGGCTCAGACACACAGGTCACCGGTCGAGTTGACGTAAGGCTGGTCTCTGGAGGGACCCACAAGACACAGGGGTGCCTTCTGGGTCGCTCCGCGATGCCTCCTGGTTTCCCTTTTACTCTGGGGGCACGGACTACTGCATTTTTAAACCTGAAGTTGCTCAGTATTCCCAGCAGGAACCTTCTGTTCTCGGAGACAGACTCCACGCGCGGACAGCTGTTAAAACCCCTCCCTGCGCCCTCTCCCTGGTCGGCTGTTGCTGTGGACAGGAGTGTGTACGGTACGCGGACTCCAGGGTTCCTTTCAGCTCACCCAGGGTGAAGCGACTTGCTGGCGTTTAATATGATATGCAAATCTTCGACTTTGAAGTTTGAACGTTCTGCTACCTCAAAAAGCATCTGTATTTTCAGCTATGATCATCCGTTTAAGTAAATGTTCCCGTAATTGCAAGGTCCAGATAAAAAGTTCCTCTGCGGAGCCCTAGTGCTCCGCTGATTGTCTTCAGGCAGCTTGGTTAGGACTTCAGAGGACAGAAAAGCAGAGCCACTGTGAGGAAGGAAACAGCCATCAGCTCAGAGACCGGGGGCAAAACGAAAGGCTATTTATT